GCCAAGAAGCTGTGCAATAGGGATGATGGCGCAACTGAACTTCTCTGTGACCCTTTCTCTCTGCAGGGAGGTGGGACCGATTCGGATGGTCTGCCCCCCCACTTAATGGATACAAATGGTTTCCAGAGAGTGGTAGGGGATGCTTTATCCCGTGTTGATGGCCTTTCCGCTGATTCCCTGGTGGCCTGCTGGAATGCAGAGTTAAAAAGGGCTATCAACTGTATGGCTCCGAAGCGCCCTCTCCATTGCATGGAGCTCGGACAGCCCATGGTTTCCCCGGAGCTGAGGGTGATGAAACAATCACTGAGACGGCTAGAGCCCAGGTGGTGGAAAACTCATTTTGAATCGGACTGGACAAGGGTTAGAGCTCAACGTTGAGCCTACCAAGTGGCGATAGCGACGGTGAAGAGGACTTTCTTCATCACCTCTATTGCATCTGCAGAAAACAGCAGCAGGAGACTCTTTCAGGTGGTTCGCAATTTAACAGAACCGCCTTTGCCATTGGGGCCTGGTAAAGACCCCAAGATCTCCTGCAACGATTTTGCAAAGTTTTTTTGCAGATAAAGTCGCTCAGATTCAGAAAGAGGTAGACTCCACCGTGGGAGCAGGGCCGGGGCGAGAGGGTGCTAGAGTCCTGTCTAGTCAAGTTGCATAGGATCAATTCCAATCTGTTACCTCTGAGGATGTGGACCGGCTACTTGGACAAGTGAAACCGACCACTTCTCTCCTTGATCCTTGCCCATCCTGGCTAATAAAAGCGAGCCAGGAACGGCTGGGCAATGGGCTCTGTGGGGTGGTGAATGCTTCCCTCTGTGAGGGAGCCTTCCCAGAGCTGCTGAAAGAGGTGGTCATTAAACCGTTTCTTAAAAAAACATCTTTAGACCCGGCCAATATAGCCAACTATCGGCCAGTCTCAAATCTTCCATTCTTGGGCAAGGTGATTGAGTGGATGGGTGCTGAACGACTCCAAGCACGCCTGGAGGATGCGGACCATTTGGATCCCTTCCAATCGGGATTTGGGCCTCATCATGGGACTGAAACTGCCTCGCTCTCGCTGGTTGATGATCTCCGGCAGGCTAGGGACAAAGGTGAGAGCTGTTTCCTAGTTCTGCTGGATCTCTCAGTGGCCTTTGATACCATCGGCCATAACATCCTTCTGGACCGTCTAGAGGAGCTGGGGGCACTGTTATACAGTGGTTCCACTCCTTCCTCCTGGGGCATGTCCAGAAAGTACTGTTGGGGGATGAGTGTTCAGACCCCTTTGCTCTCACTTGTGGGGTGCGTCAGAGTTCCGTCCTCTCCCCCATGCTTTTTCAACATCCAAATGAAGCCGCTGGCTTACTCTACAGCTAGTTAGGGAGTACAAATTGTGGCATACAATAACTTTAAAAGGGCCTGCTGGATCAGACCAAGGGCCCATCTAGTCTAGCATCCTGCTCTTACAGTGCTCAACCAGATGCCTGTGGGAAGCCCACAAGCAGGGCATGAGCGAATATGATGTTTCTTGCTCATCCAACACATGCATGTGCAGACGAAGTGCTGCCAGTCTCATCCACCTGCTTGGATTTCAGTTTGAAATAAGGACATGGATGAACATGGGGTTGTGAGAAATCCCTGGAGCCCGGCTTAAACATGCATTTTCCATACCTCCACCTGTGAACCAAGGAATCAGGTGCTTCCAAGAATCCATGTTTCCTGCTTCTTGCAGGGATGCTAACCAGTTTGGGCAAAGGGGTTCTATTGCAGTTCCAGTACTTACGGGGTCTCCTTGTGGAGCAATTCTCCATTTTACTGAAGGGAGCACATTTCTTCTCCTTTGTTCTCAATGCATTGCCGAATGTCTAGCTCAGGCCAGCTACCCAGTCTGGATATAATTCAGAGGATTTTGCATACATCATTTTCTTGGCAACAGCTGCTGTGAATTGTGGCCACTCATGGGAGATGGCTCAGGCAGCCCCAAGGAGAAATCCCAGCTGTTGCATTCTGGGTTTAATGGCTACAAACTGTAAGGGATGCATTGATTCTCTCTTAATTGTTATCAACACAACATTTCAATTGACCGGATTCTGAGGAGTAACTGGTGCTGCCATTGTTTGCTCTCGTTCACTGAATAGGACCGGCGCTTGTTCTCATTACCTTCAGAAGGTGTGTCATCAATAAACACTTTAGTCTGAACTAATGGAGGATGCTATTTGTATTGGGTTAATGGCTCTCTTCAAGGTGGAATAAATGGAAGCACTTCTTTCCATGTTAGCGTCCTCTTTCATATATTCACCTTTTTAAAGGGGGAAAAAACCCTAGTTCTTAATCTTATCATTATATGCCATGGAGATGGGGGCAGGTATCAAAAGCTTGATTGTCATCTATACAATTGAACTCAGTTACTCTCTGAGCTTGTAAAATCCCTTTAAGAATAATGAAAGAAGATAGCATTCCATATTTTCCTCTGATTTAATTTCTTCTTCTGTGCTGTTGCTTTCAAATAGCTAACAGTGGTGGCTAGTACCCATTGGAACTGATAGGGAGCAAGGCAGGGAGACAAACAGTAGGTGGAGCTAGAGCTAAGGATAGAAAGAGCCAATCAATTCCAGTTTTGTCCCCATTCTCCTCCCTCCTGAGCTCTACAAGGGAGACACTAAGGGAGAGGATAGACAGGCATTGTGACCCCTTGGCCTGGTTCTGAGTAAGAAGACAGGGGGTAGGGGGCTGGATGAGGGCAGACTGAGCTTGATGAGGCAGTGACCCATCTGCCCTCCACTGTTAGCTACTGCGTTTCTCTGTGGTTGTTGGTTCTTGTACCACCACTTCTTTAGCCATTGATCTGGCGTGGTATTGCCACAGTCTGCAAACCCATTAAAGCATGTTGATGTTTCTTGTTGACATAATGTGGAGTTCCCTACCTATACTCCACACTGAATTAATCGCTGGGTTGTCAAATGAAGCCAAGCCAAGCAAAGCCTGGCCTGGCCTTCACCAGTGATTCTGCAGAACTCAACTGGTGAAGCTTTTAACAGAATGGAGATAAGCATTAGCAACTGGAAACGTTTGCAAATTAAGCTACTGTGAAAAGCATGGGAGCAGAAGGCAGTAAAAAAAGGGGGGGAATGACTAGGTAACTAGGGGAGAGAGAGGAAAAAAATGAAAGTCTCAGGTATGAAGCTGCTGGTCAGACGCAGACAAGGGCAGAACTCCTTTACCTTGTGAATGATATGCATCTCATTGCTACAAGAGCCTGGTCCCCTTTGCATCCGGACACCCAAGATGTAACTGCCTATTGGCTTTCATTTTCATCCCTTGTAATAATACAAGCTAAGCCAAGAGGCATTAGCTGCAGTTGCTTCACATGGTGGGTGTGTTTGTCAGCCTGAGGGCCGCACAACCTTCAGGAAGGGGCTGCATGCAACTGCTGGGTGCAGGCTCAGCCAAAAATGCTTTGCCACTGTAGGCAAGGTGCCCCGATGCTGCCCAATAACCCCCCAATGCCACCAGGTCTGCAAACCAGGTCAGCAGCGCAATGGTGGGGTTGGGACAGGGGTCAGACCTGCTGCCTGAAGCAAATGGCTTCACATTGCCTAATGGATGGTCCTTTCCTGGGTGGCTGTGACCAGAAGCAAGAGAGTAACAGGTGTGTGTTTTACCTTTGTACTGTAGCCTACATTCCAGCTTACATTGCTCTCTCCTATGATCGCAGTTCAAGGGCACAAGCCAGCCAGCCAGCCAGACAAAAAAAGCATGTGAGGAGGACCAGTCAGAAGTTGCAGCCTGGATAGAGGGGTCAAGGCATGAGACCCTTAATCTCAGGCTCATGGGTTCGAGCCCCAGGCTGGGCGAAATATTCCTGCGTTGCAGGGGGTTGGACGAGATGACTCTCGTGGTCCCTTGCAACTCCACAATTGTGTGATTCTGTGACTCTGCCTTGAGCCTAATCTGTTTCACCTCTTCTTGTGCAAACCTCACATGCCAGGTCAGACATTGTCCCCAGTTGTAAAGTTAGCAACGTAGCTCCGCCCCCAGCTGCAAGGCCACCCTCCAATCCATTGTGAGCAAAAGGTAGATATTCTGCTATTACCTTTGAATCAGGAGTTGCAGAAATTGACAGAGGGACACTTTTGCTGAAAACATCTGGCTAAGAACCTCTGAGATTATACTTCAATAGCACTTTTGCTTTTCATCCCTGACTGGCATTGAAGCGGCTAGGAAGACACATGCATCTTCATTCGTCATGCTGTTTAGAAAATGTGGCTTTGTGCTTCACAAATATTTTAATCGGGTAATCTCAAGCCATCTGGCAAAGAATAAACATCTTCTTTGTTTTAATTATGTACAGCCTTAGGTCTGATGCTAATTGACAAATTGAAAGAAGGTACGGATGGCACAGAGAGAGAGAGATATCAAAGATTATGTTGTACTGAATATTACAGTTTATGTAGCAACCAGCACAGATGTGGAAGCAGCTGTAAAGACCAATTAGCACCATTTCTGAACCTGCAATAGCATATCTCGTAATGAGTAAGGATCACTCGTGGCCTTTTACTACTGTGTACCAGCTCCTTAATTCTGAAGGAGAAATGTAATTCTTCAGGGAAAAGGTCATTATTGGAAGATGTTGAAAACCCAAACCCTGTTGGTGATTACAAAACAGAAATGGGAAGTTGCTACTGCTGCCCCCAAATTTCTGTTTTATAATTCCCATGACTGGGATTTTTAAAGTATTCAGTAATGACCCCAAAATACATTTATAGAGGTATTAAAAAAACAGCCCTATGTAGCAATAATGGGTTGTATCCAACAAAGTTGCCCTAGACTTTTGCTGGCACGATGGAATATCCTCTCACAGTGTGCCCTAACACTTCCCAAACCTGTTCTAGGGATTCCCCCAGACACTGGGGGACATACACAAGCCTTGCTCTTATTCCTGCTAAACGCTGCTGCTGCTGGAAAACCAACATGACCCGAGAGCCAAGCTGATCGGAGCAGCCTTACACCTCTTGCCCATTAGCAACTTTTTGCTACTTTTGCCCTCCAGCATCAGCCCCCATATCCAGGTATTCCTCCTAACCCATTGGAGAGAGCTTAAGAGCAGTTGGTTCACTTGCTGGTGAGAAAACAAACATGCATGCATTCTTGGTTAACAACTCTTTCTCCTCCCTGCCTTCACTACTTCACAGAAGACATTGTTAAGGTGAAACCTACCTATCATTACATAATCCAATGCATATTGAATTAGAAGTAACTCCCACTGTGTTGAATGAGGCTTACTGGCAGGTAATATGCTTGGTTTGGAGCCTCATGGGCCAGGGGGAACTCACCTGTTTCGTTTCTGCTTGTTATGTGCCCAATTATGTGTATCTCTTCAAAGGCGTGTCTCTTTAAATTCTAGGATTAAATTATTTCCCCCAGCTTGTTATGGGCTTATTGGATTTAGTGGGACCATTATTAGGCTTTTGGGACCTGCGGGGTAGAGACAGACTTATTTATTTGCTTCTTATTATACTGATGCCCCAACTTTCCTCCAAAGAACTCAAGGTTGCATTCATGCCTCTTCTCTTCCCCCATTTGATTCTCGCAACAACCCTGTGAGGTCTCAGCTGAGAGACAGCGACTAGCCCTGGGTTACCCAGTCAACTTCATGACTGAGTGGCGATTTGGACCCTGGTCTTTGAGGTCCTAAGCCACTAATATCCTTTCACCTTATTTCACATTCTTGAAAAAAAGATGTGGAAGTGAACAGCCTGGGGTGGAGGGGCTACTCTAGAAGCTTTTTAGGTTTCTTGTGAACAGTTCTGCCTAGCACCTGCAAGACTAACCAATTTCGGCTGCAATCTTGTACCTGCTCATCAGGCCCTCCATATACAGAAGGATTTATTTCTGTGTAGGCAGGGCTTTTTTCTGCTGGAACTGGCCTGAACTAAGTTCTGGTACCTCACAGGTAGGTGCCATTGGCATTCTAAGAGAACAAGCGAGGCATTCATGGTGAGTGTTGGCACCTCTTTTTCTAGAAAAATAGCACTGCATGTGGAAATGTTAATCAATGTACAGTTATCGTGTCCTAAAACTCTCTCCTGCCTGTATAAAGTTTGGTCACATGGTTGGGGCCAAGAGGGAGAGGGGGGTCAAAGAGGAAGAGGAGGGCTAAGGGCCCCCCAAAACCTGGAGCCAGTCCTGACAGGAAGTTCCATTGCACAGGTGAAAGTTTTTGCAAGAAGAGGCTGGCTGCTTTGGATATGACCACATATACAGCATGCCTGTCTGTATAGTTACAATTTTTGAAAGAAATTATAAGGTATTCTCTCTCATAGGCACAGCTGTGCTTTAGAAGTGGGTTCACTCCCATCCCCTATGGCATGTCAGCCAATGTTTACAGGGAGAGGCACCAGATCACATTCAGGCTAGGCTAGTTTGAGCAAGAACGAGGAGTGGGTCTGTGTACTAGGCCCTCTGTTGTAAATAACGGCTGCTATGCTGAAGTGTCAGTGTGCCTGGGAAGGGGGATAGGGCTATTCATTTATCAGAAGTGGCAGCAATACAACTTTTGAACGGGGCTCTTTATTTTGCATGTGTCGTCTTAAAATAAGAGGGGGGGGAGAGGCCTGTGTAATTAAATGTATTTCAGACTCATAGTATAGAAACTCATATGCTCATGGTACAGAGAGGTAGAAAACAGCAGTACAGATTTACAAGCTAAGGAGCAATTAAGTTAAAAAGACAAGCAAAACAAAGCCCTTTTTTATGAGCAAAAAACCTCCAAACGAAGCTAATAAATAAATAAACTCAAACAGGTTTCCAGTTTCAGATATCCCCTCCCTCCCTCCCCCACAGCTCATATTTAAGGCCAATAAGTCACATGGTAGCTGTCCACAATCATTTTTAAGAGTGTTCCCAGCATCTAATGAGTTTTTTAAAGGCAAGTTTAAAATCTTCATTAAAACTAGTGTACAAGAGAGGATTGATAAGAGAATTCACATAACCCAGCCACGTCAGAAAGTGAGCCACTTCCGCCGATACGGTGCTAAGCTGAAGGCCCACAGCGAGCTCCTTGATAAAAAATGGCAGCCAAGACAAAATGAAGGCGCCTAAAATGAGGCCCAGGATGCGTGCAGCCTTTCGCTCCCTCACACTGGAAATCTGTTGACGGTCTCCAACCAAATCCAGGTCGTTGTCAAAGGGGGAGGTCCTCACCGAAGCATGCATCCTATCAAATTCCGTGGTGGGGTCTGATGTGGAGAAGTCTGAGACGCAGAAGGTCTGCGTGAGCTTGCAACTCGCAAATGAGTTTTGGCTGTCGGTGCTCCTGCTGCTGAGGTGCCGGCTCGACCCTCGTTTTTGGTAGAGGCTCTTTGCCGCGTGGTAGATTCTGTAATAGAGAATCAATATGAGGGTCAAAGGGATATAAAAGGCCCCAAACGTAGAGTAAATGGTGTAGATGACGTGGTTGTGCTGAATCTGACACTCGCTGGAATTGGTGTCGGCGCTGTGGTTTCTCCAAAACAAAGGAGGCATGGAGATGCACGTGGATATTGTCCACACTGTGCCAATCATAACTCCAGCTCTCTTGGCCGTCCTCTTCCTGGCGTACTCGATCGCATTTGTAATGGCCCAGTATCGATCCAGCGCGATGACGCAAAGGTGAAGGATCGAGCACGTGCAACAGGTCATGTCTATGCTCAGCCATATCTCGCACAGGAAGTATCCCAAAGTCCACCTTTCCATCACGATGTATGTGATACTCAAGGGCATGACCAAAACGGCGACAAGCAGGTCTGTAACAGCCAGCGAGCAGATCAAGTAGTTGGCAGGCTGGTGCAGCTTCTTCGTCAGGCAGATTGCCGAAATGACGGAAGAGTTCAGCAGCATTGTCAAGGTTGTAATTATGGACAGAGACACGGTAATAAGCATGTTTTCGGTGATGGTTTTGGATCGGACAGCCACGTCGGCTTCTGGCGTGAAGTTGGTGTGATTCATCTTTTCAGACCAATACAAACTGTTCGGTGCCTCCTAGGTCCTGGCAGTGCCAAGCTTTAAAGTTCCTCCATTCTGGAAGATCACTAAGGATACTTCGGAGTTGGAATACGAAATCCTAATGTCACATTTCCCCTCAGATCCAGTTTGCTTTTTCCTCCAGTTTGCTGCTTGCTCCTGGAAGATAAAAGGATGTTTCTTAATAGCAGATCTTCCAAATTTATTGGTTTATTTATAAAGTATTAAAGATGGCTTTTCTTTATTTGTTTTAAAGAATACCCAAAGCGGCAAAAAAAGATTTTTTTTATTAAAAAAATGCAATATTTGAAACAAGATACAAATTGAACACCCAGACTAAATTATGAAACAACCAAAGACCTCCTTAGCGACCCACTGCAGAAGGCTTTGTGGAATAGAAAGGATTGCTTAGGCACCTACAATTAAGGAGTGATGTAAACAGGTGGAATTCTGTAAGTAGCACATTTCACAACCGGGGTGACACAACAGAAAAGGCACTGCTTCACGCATCTGCAGAACAAACTTCGCATGATGACAAACCCTTAATAGGGATTCCAAAAATAATAAAATAAAATAAAAATGGGAAGCTTCTCCTAAGAACTTTAGGTTGTGTTAGAGATTTCTGTAAGTAAGTTCTGTCTCAGATAAATCTGATGTTTAATACATTCATAGCAGAGTCAAATCTGAACTTTATTCTTCACGGCTACACAAAATTAGTGGTAATGCAAGCAAATTAATCGACTTACTTCAAGTGGTATCTTCAAGAGGTAAAATGTTTCAGAAAAGCCAAACTTAAGCTAATGCATGCTAGCTTTTCATAACATATTTTCACATTTAGGTGTCAATCTTTTGAACAGTCTAAAAATACAGACTTTATAATAAGATGCTGTCAAGCAAAGGTTTAATGATTTTTCACCTAAAAATTTAAATTTTGTGTACACAGCCCATTCCTGTTCTCAGAGCTTATGTGGTGTGCTCTAATTATTGTGAACGTGCCATGCATCCCACTGAGTAAGTCTTTGCAACACACACAGCCACACGTACTTTTTTTGCCTGCGACTTTGCTGCTTTTTTTGTTGGATGCAGACCACTGCTGTGAGAGTTCACTTACAAGCACTAAAGCTTTAATCGTGTTTTTAGAACCATTCTTTCACTCACTATTAGTCTTTGTACATGACTTTGGATGATCATTTGTAACAAGATGTTTGGACTTTCAGCTTCTTTATAGCTTGAGATATAGGAACCTGGTGGGCTGAAAGAGAAATGAAAGGCCACCTTGTGGAGAGTCTCATTTATGTTAGAAAGGTCTTCCTGATGTCAAGTCAGGATTTCCTTTCTTGTAATTTGAAGCCGTTGGTTCGGGCCCTACTCTTCAGAGCAGGAGAAAAAAAGCCTGCGTCATCTTCCATTTGACAGCCATTTAGAGATTTGAATATGGCTATATTATTATATTAATAACAACATGCTTCCTGTGAAGGAAATAATTATATCAGGCTTTGCACAACTGTGTGCTTAGGGGGTGGAGTTACGAAGACAGGCAGCTCCTGAAGGCCAAAAAGCACAATGAGGCCAGGACGCATCACCTGACTTGCTCTGGCCTATAGCTGCTAGGAGATTTCATTGATGGTCAGGCAGACCCGCAGTGCCTTCCTTTGGCCTGAGTTAGATATCGGTGGTGCATGGACTGAATTTCCACCTGACAACTCCTAGGCTCTTGGGTCAGGGCATGCCCAAGTCCTGATACATGGCAATATTTCTATAGGTTGTGGGTTCAGATATTCCCCCAAAGAAAGGTTCCATGCAACAAGCATTCAAAGCAAAATGGAGGCAAACCACAAGAACTCCCCAAGGAGCATCCTGTTAAAAAAACAGAAGCCTCTGAGATTCATTGAAGTTCAACACATTTGGAATGGTTCTGCTTTTTCCCCAAGGAAGCACTGTCTTTAGGAAACATCACATTTTATAAATAAAAAGGATAAATGGCTTTGACCAAGTGTGGGAATGTTTGAAATGTGCAGAGGGTCAGACCTTAAATCAGAGAGTTGCTTGTAGTCTACCCACACACAAACCAGGAAGCACTGAATTTTGTTCATTATAAGGAGTCAAACACAAAATGGAACATGTAGTGTACTTTAATTAATAGTTCTTCCTAAAGAAAAGCAATACACCTTTCTTCCCTGCAAATGTTCTAGAACCCTACTATTTTGTATTTTACAGCAGTATATTGGAATTTACACTTCCAAGGGGTTAGTTCCCGTCCTAAGGAACATATTCTGGTCACATGGTGCCATATTTCACAGGAAGAACAGCAGGCAAAACTGCTTAATTTTCTGTGACTCGCCAGTGATAGGCTGCAGGAATCTTTTTAAAAAGGTGGGACCTCAGTCTTCCAAATTAGTCATTAATTGTGTTTTTTCTCTGAATCTATACACTGATAGAATGGGATCGTGCCTCTGAACAGGTGCAGAGTGCTTTTCGTCTACATATGAGTTGTTAGAGCAACACTTCTATATCTGGAGTCATGGGAAAAGGCTTCCAGCTCAGAGGGCATAGATTCCCAGCACTGAATATTTTACACACTGAGCACTACTGAGATCTGGAAAAGGAAAACAAGGTTGCCTGATGGTCACACATCATTCCTCTGTGTGTTTTATGTAATTGATATAGGTGAACCATTCCAGCTGGTAGGCTAATATGGATCTTGTATAGACAACTGAATATATTACTTACGTGCCCACTTTTCTAAGCATTTGCTTTAAACATGTAATTCTGGATTTTTAGGAGGAAAGCAAGTATCACATGAGTTATGCAGCTGCGCCTTTAAGTTCAGGGTCTTTTTAAAACACAAAATGACAGTGCGGGGGCATAATTCAGACAGGGAGTCTAGTGTGGGTGGCCGGATGGGGTTTAATCATTTGTACCCTGCTATGATCCCAATCTGGATTGCATTCCCACACCTGCAATCTGCATTTGGGGGGGAAATCTCATTTACTTGAATGCCACCCTCTTCACCCCACATTAGGAACTCCTAGTCTGGACCGGGTCCCCAAAGTGGCAATGTTTTTTTATTTTTAAAAAAGCATGCATTTGAAGGCAGATAACATAATGTTATGGGACGCGGGTGGTGCTGTGGGTTAAAGCCTCAGCGCCTAGGACTTGCCAATCGAAAGGTCGGCGGTTCGAATCCCCGCGGCAGGGTGCGCTCCCGTCATTCGGTCCCAGCGCCTGCCAACCTAGCAGTTCGAAAGCACCCCCGGGTGCAAGTAGATAAATAGGGACCACTTTATAGCGGGAAGGTAAACGGCGTTCCGTGTGCTGCGCTGGCTCGCCAGATGCAGCTTGTCACGCTGGCCACGTGACCCGGAAGTGTCTGCGGACAGCGCTGGCTCCCGGCCTATAGAGTGAGATGAGCGCACAACCCTAGAGTCTGTCAAGACTGGCCCGTACGGGCAGGGGTACCTTTACCTTTACCTTTAACATAATGTTTAGTTACTCTTTGTAAACCAATTTGAGGTCTTTTTTTTTTTTTACAGTTTTGTGAAATAAATAAAAAGAGGTACGGGTCTTCTCTTGTGTTCTTCAAATTGGACTTTCCTGCATTGCTCCCCTACAGATGTTGTTGAACTACAACTCCCATCACCCCGACCATTGACCACAATGGGCTGGGGTTGATGGGAGTTGTAGTCCCAAAACCTGAAGGCCACCAGATTGTGGATGGCTGGTTCAGATATTGATTTGGGTTGCTCTCCATGGTCTTGAACTACTTGATTATTTTCACTTACACTTAGGGGAATACCATCTATGTTTCTCAGATCTGACCTACATTTCCTAAACAAATTTCCCATGCTCTGTCTCCCACACTATTTAAATCTCATGATTAAAAATCTTGCTGCTGTCTGTTCTTATAAAATCTATACAGGGTGACCCATATTTTGAATAAAATCAAAGAACTGAATGAGAAGTATGCAGTAAATGAGGCAAAAAATAAAGGAATTGGAACCAACTTCTGCCTCGTCCCTTGAAGCTATTGAAAACAGTAGCTAGTAACATTATAATTATTTAAATACTCAGATCTAGAGCTCTATGAGTTCTATTGCACACAAACACACAGAGTCTCATTCATAGAAAACCTTCCACACTTATTTCTGACATATTCAGCTTTGAGGGAAATAATGCTAGCTGAATTAACCCAGAGCTAATCGTACCAAATTAGTTCAAGGTCCCCAGGCACACACTGTTTATCATTAGTCAATATTTACATCTTGGTTTTGACTTGTCTGTTAAAAGGGGTCTTCTGGCTTCTGCTTTCTAGATGTATTGATTTTATTTACAACATGTTATTCTGTATTTCAAAAAAGAACCAAGTCAAGACAGCTTGATTCGTGAACTGAATCCTTGCTTATTGCATCAGAATGTGAAATTATGTGGCAAAAATTAGCATGAGCAGCCCAAAAGCTGAGGAGGAGGAGGCGGGAGGCGGGATACCCCAGACAGTATTAGCAGCTGTGGAATGTACATGCAGAGATTCTGCACTTTCTATTGTATGCACTACCAAATCAATGCCTGGCACTGTCATGTATGACATCACTGATCAGCTGATTGAGGGTTAGGTGGGGGTCTTCTTCCTATCTCCCTTCCCAGCAGGAATTCAGCTCTCACAAAGTGCTAACTATAAGATGTGTGGCAGGAAACCATTAAAAAACATTCACTGTGGTTATGCTTCCTAGCAGCTTAAATGACTCTTAAAAATAGACATATTGCTATACAAAGACATCAATCAATAGTTATGAGCTATGATTGTTAAATGGAATGTCCACATTCAAACCTCTGTGTAGTAAGTGCTGAGGCAAATGACCGGGTGGTGGTGGCAGCCATAATTTTTATGCCCTGTTTGTGAGCTCTCAGGAGGACCATACCTCAGTGATAAATCAAATGCATTGCATAGAGAAGGTTCTTCCAGTTAAGGACCAGTCAAGGACCTCTGCTTGAGACTGTGGAGAGCACTGACAATCGGTGTTGACCAGGCTTGGGAACCTTTTGAGAACCAAGGACTGCATTACTCAGGCAGAAAGCTGTCAGAGACTATGTTCCAGTAGCGGGCAGGCCCAGATCCACACTGTCACATGCCCTAAACACCCACACCCACACACCCCTGTTTC